GCGTGGAATCGTGTCCGAATTGCTCCCAAGAATTGCTCAGGTGACCTAATTTTGCCTTCCACAATCAGTTTGTCAGAGGAATCACTGCTTGGAGTGGTACTGTGTGTCTGGAGTTTAACCTGCAGTCTGCAGAAATGGTAACATTTAGGGCTGCTTTTCTTACAAAAAAAGGTAAAGACAATGAAGGCAGTGAAGTGTCCAATAAAATCCAAACCATGGCCATATAAACAAGCAGCATCACACGAGCTGTGTCCCTGAAAGGTTTTGACAAACCTGTCCAGTCTGTCTCAGCATGGAAATGTTCATTCTGAGATGCTGCTGGTGTATATGAAGCATTTAATAGAATCCCAGAATTGTTCAGGTTGGAAAAGACCTTTGAGATCAGTGGCTGCTGCATCCCCAAGGCCTTGTCTGGGCTTTTACATTTGTAAATTAGCAGATTGCGTTAGCTCTGCTGGCAGAATGTGAAACACCTGTAAGGAATTAAGAACCAGGAATCAAAGAATTATCATTATAATTATTTTTGCAAAGAGTTCATGGGAAAAGAGAAAACGCAGCGTCAGCATGGAAATGTTCATTCTGAGATGCTGCTGGTGTATATGAAGCATTTAATAGAATCCCAGAATTGTTCAGGTTGGAAAAGACCTTTGAGATCAGCAAGTCCAAGTGTTCTTTCTCCACGTCTGGGCTTTTACATTTGTAAATTAGCAGATTGCGTTAGCTCTGCTGGCAGAATGTGAAACACCTTTAAGGAATTAAGAACAAGGAATCAAAGAATTATGATTATAATTATTTTTGCAAAGAGTTCTTGGGAAAAGAGAAAACGCAGCACCTGTTTTGCACCACTTGGGGAGGGACAAGTGTTGGGTTTATAGAGTCGGTAGCAGTAGTGCTTGCTGCTCACTGTGACCTTGCTGTGCAGCTGTTGGAGAGCAGGAATGCTTCTCCTGCCAGCAGGGTCATCTCTGCAGTTGCTGATGGAGAGCAGGCAGTGCGTGCTGTGTGCTGGGGATGTGAAACTCAGCTCCAGAGCATCACTGGGCATCACTGGATGGATGGATGGAGTGTTCATGTGCGTGCTGTGTGCTGGGGATGTGAAACTCAGCTCCAGGGCATCACTGGATGGATGGAGTGCTCAGAGGGCTCATTCTGATCACACCAGCTTTCTGAGGACGGGTTTGAGACACCCGCGTTTCACCGATTTAAAAATAAATTCTCATTGCTGAGAGGTGTGAAACTCTAAATTCTGGTAGAGAGCTTATCCTAGGTGGGAAGTGGCTTTTCCTGGCTGCGTGGGATGGAGAGTTTCCATGGCTCCACTCCCCAGTGTGGCCGCCCTGGAGGGACAGCAGGACTTGTTGGAGCAGAGTCCTCTGGGGGTGTTCCGTGATTGAAAGGTGGCGGAGCAGTGTGCAGTGCAGGGATGCAGAGGGAGGAAGGCAGGGTGCAGCCCCCGTGCAGAGCCCGCTGTTTGTGCAGCCCCCGCAAGGGAAGGTGAGCGGGAGCCGCTGCCGAGGGCCCTTCAGGACACACGGCGCGGGCTGCCGGCCAAAAGCCTTGTTTGCCTTGGCTGCCGTGCCTCCCGGCTGCTCCTGTCCCGGGCCTCGGGGACTTCTCCCGTTCTGGGAGCGGATCCGTGCTGATTGCGGGCCGGGCTGGGCGGGAGCGCTGCCGCCCTGCAGCATCCCCCAGATCGCCCGGGATATTCGGCATCACATCCCTCGAGCCGTGGGTTAGCTCCCTGCTCTGGGATAACCCGCTGTGAGCAGTCAGAGCAGATTTCTGTAGTTCTCTGGCCGGGGTGAAGGGGCACGGCAGCACCGCCAGGTGATGCTGGGCTGTGCACCAGCGGCACCGGCGGCTGCAAAACACCTCGTCCCTATTTACAGGAAGTTGCAGGGTGGTAAGTTGTGATGAGTAGCAGCAGAGCAACCTTCGAGGAGCGCTTACTGCCCGTAGGAATTGCTGCCGCGGCATCCCGAGCGGTGATGGATTGATGGATGTGCGCGTTCCCGGCCCGGTGCGAGCGGGGCGGGATGCGGGGAGCAGGGGCTGTGGGATGCTCCGGACGGGCCTGGAGGAATGTGCCGGCTATTTGTCTGCGCCTGAAAGTGGTTCCTCTGGAGGGGTCTGTCATCCCGGGAGGATGAAAAATGGTTGATCCCGCTCCGGGTGAGGAGGCTGCGCGGCGCGCTGGAAAGCGCGGCCTGGATCGGGAGGCGGGATGAGCCCTCCACCTCTGGATTTGCACATTTGGATCTGGAGAAAAACATAAACTATTTTTCACTCTTAGGCTCATATTTTGTAGCAGGTCTTTCCTTCCCCCGTCTGTTCCCTTCGTGGTGTTTTTTTTTTTTCTTTTTTGTGTTTTTTTTTTTTTTTTTTTTGTTTTTTTTTTTGGGTTTTTTTTTTTTTTTTTTTTTGGTTTTTTTTTTTTCCATTGGGAATGGCATTTTGGGTGTCAGAGAAATGGAGAAATGTGCTGTCATTCTATGGCAGCGAACAACATCTAGAAGGAACTGGAAATTTGTTTTCAGGCTGGCCAAGGGAGACCTCTCAGGATCTCAGAGACATCAAATATCATCTTGTTCCAACTCTCCACCATGGGAAGGGACACCTTCCGCTAGAGCAGGTTGCTCCCAGCCCCTGGGCTTGAATCCTTACCTGCTGAAGATACACAGGTCTGTTCCATGGTGAATAGAGCTAAGAGGAATAATCAGTGTTAAATAATCAGTGTTAAATAGTCAGTGTTAAAGACAACACTGATATCTGAGAAATGAGGTACATCAGGAATTCTCTGTGTTAGCAGAGCAGCAGTGTGTGCTGTGGGATCGCAGTGTCCCCGATAAATGGATGTGTGCAGAGGCTGGGACCCAGAGCATCCCTCACTCCTGGTGTCAGAGTCCAGCCTCCCCTGGAGCTGCTGCTGTGCCCTGCCCAGCTGTGTCTCCAGTCTGGAGCTGTTCCTCACGGGAAGGGAGCTCAGGCCCTGGCACAGCTGCCCAGGGCAGTGGTGGAGCCCCTGTCCCTGGAAAGTTTAAAATACCTGTAGCTGTGGCTCTTGGGGCTTCGTGGTGGGAGTGGCAGTGCTTTCCTTCCTGTTTACACCTGCTTTTTTATTGCTTTTGACCCTCTCTGGCATTGGTGAAGGATGTTTTGATTGTAGACCTGGGAGGGAGGTGCAAGGCAGCTGCAGGTGCTTTTTATGGCATGTTAGGCATGGAACATAGAAACCTTATTCCTAATGTTGCTTAACTTCTTTTATTATTTTTTTCTGCCATCCTGGTTTGTGAATGACTAAGAGCGGGCATTTACTGGTTGTTAATTACCTCAGCATCCCTGCAAAAGCCCTGGCAAGCTGGGTGTGAAAGGGGCTGAGTGTGCCACACCCTCCAGCTGTGTGCCAGAGCCAGGTTCTGATGACACCGCTGCTTGGGAAGGGCTTTTGCATGACTAGCCAATCCAGTAATGGGGCTTGGTAATTGTGCAGAGTGTTGGGTGAACGAACATTTATTAAGGAGGGTCACAGATTAAAAAAATAAATAGGTTCTGGGTAGTTTTGACTGGTTTTGAGGAGGAAGTGTTGCCTTGGATGCAGAATGGACTAAGATCTGAGCTCACTGGGTCCAAGCTGGTGAGCATCACACACCTTGCCCTTTTGTGAGTAAATCCTGGATCCCATTAACACATATCCCAAAAGGCAGGTGATGGCAGACTTTTCAGTGGTGTCCAGCGCCAGGATGAGGAGCAATGACCACAAACCACGAGAAGTTTCACATCACCACGAGAAAGAGCACGTTGAGGATGGGGACAGGCTGCTCGGGGGGGCCGGGCAGTGTCGCTCTCTGGAGCCGTTCCAGCCTCACCTGGATGCGTTCCTGTGAGAACACAAGCGTGTTCCAGGTGACCCTGCCTGGGCTGCCCGACCTGCCGAGGACAATTCCGCGCTGCCGGCCGGGAGGCGTGGCGCGTATCCCGGGAGGAGCGGGCCGAGGGAATCCTGGCGCTCTCTGCTGCCGCTCCCGGGCGGGCGGGACTCCACTCCGGCGCTTGTTTGCCGCCGCTGGCGCGGCCGGGCCCCGCCGCTCCGCCGCGCTGCCCGCCCCGGGGCG